CTCACGGCTGACGATGGATACCACCCCCCTCGCTAGCTGATGATGGACACCACCCCCCCTCTAGCGGATGATGATGGATACCACCCCTCTAGCTGGTGATGATGGACCGCCCCCCGTTCTTCTGTAACAGACGCACGAGCCTACTGCAGGTACTTTTTTTTGTCCAACCACCACAAAAAACTATTCCACCTCCCGATCTAGTAGTTTTTTTTTGCGAAAAGTGTGGCCCGTTTAGGGGTACGCTTTTTGTTTTGCAAAAAAAAGCTGTTTAGAGGGATCGTGTGTGGAGTATGTGCGCACGAGAAAAGGAATAATTTTCATGCACAGGGGCGTGAAAATTTAGCCATGGCTGTCTGTCTGTCTGTCTGCGCACCCTAAATGCCCAGCAGACTCGAGCCCATTTCACCATCTCGGCACCAAATTGCAAACTAAAACTTGCGCACAACAAGTAACATTTTGCCCGAGCTGTCCCAACCGCTACCTTTGCAATCCGTGGTCGGTGTCTCGAGATAGCACACCGTTGGTGCAAATATATATGTCACATGTACGCATCCCCGGGAGGCGTCATTTTTGTTATTTTTTGGGCAACAAACTACACGCACGCAAGAAGAAACCACGAAGCACTGCCGTGCTGCACACACACTGCTGCTGCTACTAACCGGGGAAACTTAGACTTCGCGTTCGCGCCTGGACTTCGCGTTGAAGAATGGTCCCGAACCGACGCCAAACCAACGGTTTGATTCCGAAAACCAAATCAAATACGTCACGGCCTGCGACACCAAATGTCCAATCGCCCAACAAACTTCCTCATCGGCCGCCGCTCCAAACGGGTACTGGTAAGCCCCTACACTGGTGTGCGCATGCTCTGGTGTATTGTAGGCGTGTTGTCGTTGCTTTGGCGTGTGTAGGCAGCACCCCGGCCTCATGGCAACAAACCGAATCAACACGTCGTAGGGAGAGAACGAGTCACACACACACCCAAAATGCTACGTGTGTCGTGGCTCCTGGCATACACGTTGCAGACTGCTGTCCCTCTCCTCACGCACGCCCTACTCTACACACACACACGCCCAGCACGTTGATAGTGGATAGACAGACGTATAGCAGCAGCAGGGATAGAAGAAGAGATACAAGAGACACCAGGGGTAGGATGGAGAGCAGGCGGGGCAACGACGAAAAATCATTTTACCGGGCATGCCGATCGTTTGGACATCCATCCGCGTAGGGCGCGCCACCAGCAACGCCTGCCCGTTTTACTTGTGGCCCTGTCGGCACGCTCTCTCTCGATATATGTGCGGGTCTGTTGTGGCTCTGCCGGTATCCTCTCTCTCTCGATACGTGTGCCGACGGTCTATCCACCTAATTTTTCGGTCGCATGTCCTGCTGTTTTGACCCTTCCAACAGGGGTTTGTCTACTTACGCCATCGGTGGCGCAATTTCTTATATGCGCCACCGCTCTTATCTCCGCCCACAGAGCTTCAATTGGCACAAACTTAAAATTGTGGTGTAGCTATGACCCATAGCAATCATACAAGCCAACTTGAAGCAAAATCCATTCGGTCGTTGGAAAGTTATGCTCGAAAAAGGGGGCTCAGCGGCATCAAAAGGCGGGCACCAACCATATATTCCACCGTAACTCCGTGGCCAAAGCTCCAATCGACGTCGTACAAATTGCACTGGTCGACGGACGTCCATAGCCATCGTTCAAGCCATCTGGGACGTCCATCCGACCAGTAGATGCCGAGATATGCCCTCCCACGGGGGTACAGTGCCACCGTAGGG